GGGTAGTGAGCAATATTCTACATATATATACGTACATGAAGAAATATAGTCATGAATCTACATGCGACAATACATATATGCATGGATACACAATGAGCAACTAGATATACAACACTCCTGTACACTATATTCTACAACTACCCAACTACCCAACTAACCCACCCAACCAACTATTCCCCAACCCCCTTCCCTACTCATGCACAAAAAAAACCTCCAACCCCATAAATTCCCCCGCGACACCTACTGAAATGTTGAAATTACCTAAATTCGGTCACGTAAGCACTTGTTCCACCCCCTAACGCACATCCACACACTACTACACCACACTAGACTCGATATGCTTATTTCCTAGCTAAATAGCCAGTGCGTGTGCGATGTAGCACCGAGAGAGAGAGAGAGAGAAAGAGATAGAGAGAGAGAGAGAGGTAGGGGAATGAATGAATGAATGAATGAGAAGATCTGAGTGCGCTTTTTGACCATGTGAAGAAGAGGGTCTTGGATTTTTTTTCTGACTTACATACTTGATGGGTTGGTGGGTGGATTGCTTACGGGAGTCTGGTGAGTTATGGACTAGTAGGGAATAGGTGGGTAGGTAAGTAGGTAGCTAGCATACCCCTTCTTTGGGGGATATTAGGAGTACTGTTGATATTACTGTACTGTACACAATTGGCGCACAGGGGGTAAAGTTTCTTTCCGCGGCTCTAGTTAGACTACGCGCTTCTTTTGGTAGGGCGCTACTATAAGTTAAGAAATAGTGTACTACATAGTATAATATATAAAAAACCTTATTAATACCAAAAAATACTTTTTGTATCGTATTAAGACTTAGTATATAAATTATTTTATACTGTAAGGGGCTGCGCTCTGGGGAGCAATTGCGAGGTATACAAGAGGTTGTATTCGATAGAGAGCTATAGAGTCTACTTGCGTGGTGTTTATTTACTTGTCGGAGAAAGGTTGCACCGAGTGTCTGAGCGCGTCGTCTGGGCGCCGCTCAGGCCTCGCACAGATGCCGGGTTGCAGAGTAAGACCTGGCGTCTGCTGCTTGACCGAGATTCCATCGAGGAGCTATCCAAAGGGCGTTCAGCCCGTTACATATACTATAAATTAAGTACTAACGTGGTTCACAAGTGAGTCGCTAACCCAAGCGAGTCGCTAACGCCCTACCACTACATCTAC